AAACATCATGAAATTAAAGATCATTTCAAGAAATCATGGCCCAAAGCTTGCAAATTATGCAAAATCTCATCTTGGAATGTTAAGAACGTGCTATAAATATTGAATGCATGTATAACTTGAGTTCAATGTTTTTCCAAACAACATGATCAAATAGAATATCCCAACCACAAAAATGGTGAATTCTTAGATTATATAACCAAAATATGAACATGTCATTGTGAGAATTTTCTTGAAAACAACTTCAAAACATTCATGATATGACATGCATGATGGAATGGCTTTGCTTTCTTAAATCAGCTCAACTCCATGTGAATTCAGCCTATTTTTCATTTATATTCATGTACTAAATGACTTATTTCAAGTGTGTAAGGTTGAGCTCTACCATAGCTACTCATAGTGAGCTCCACTTAACCAAAATCTTGCAGCAATTTCAGGCAAATCTCCTAGCAATTCTCTACTCTCCCAAAATTGATCTCAATTTTCCCCCTCTCTCTCTCTCTCTCTCTCTCTCTCGACGTTTTTGTCTTGTTTGAGTCACAAGTATGAGGGATTGAAATGTATTTTCCTAGTCTTGACTCAAAATTTGCCTTAATTAGGCTTGGGGCAAAGATGTATTCTTATTATTGATCGAGTTAATCAGTAGATCATTTAAATTATATTAATTTAATTGTTCCGAACTGAATTTCAATAAACCCCACCATAAAATTTTTAAAAATTCCAGATTAACAACATAACCGAGTCAATTTTTGATCTGTTGCCGAATTAAGGCCTTCAATTCATAATTAAGAAGCTAAAACATGAACAGACCTTTCTAACGTTAAGCAGAATATAAATACAAATAATTGCAATGCACATGCAAATTCAACTTAGGATTTTCCTTAATTACTTGTTAGGCATACTTAAACATGAATAGCGCTGATCACGGGTCGGATTGTTACCAAACATCGCTTCTCCTTTTAATAAAATTAAACAATCGAAAACTAAGCCTCCAGGCTTGGTTTGGGAAGTGGGTTGGCTTTTTGGCTTTTTGGCTTTTTTGACTTTTTTTGTGAGAGAAGAATGTAATGATTATAGGTTGGATGTGATGTTTTGTTTGTTATGGCTAAAATAGCCTATTTTGTTTTTTGTGGCTAAAATAGCCAAAAAAGTCTGAAAAAGCCCTTGCCAAACGGAGGCTAATACAGATAGCCTGTAGATATGAAAATAAATAAAGGCAAAATATATATTTCTATATAAAAAATATTAAAATATTATTTTTTTAATCTATACGATTAATAAATTATTAATAAAAGAATTAATTATTATGTGAGTTTTTTTTTTATATTTTTTAGAACACTTAATTATTATGTGAGTTATAAGTACATATATATTATACACCATGTCATCATCATCATTAGCCAAAAAAAATAAAATAAAATAATACATGCTTCGTCAAGCAACATTGATGCATTTAACTGAGTTTTGGGCACATGAAGTTGAACCAAGTAAAAAATATTACATAAAGGTGACATCAAACATCAAATATACAGAGCATCTTCAATATTTACGGTTTTTTTTTTCCATCAAATTTAAATAAAAGTTTTATCTAATATTATGCATTTCAACAGAGTAATTTAAGATTTGATCAAACCACCGGTCGACCGAGAGGACAACCAAGAGAATGTCCAGATGGTTGGCCAACTAGTGCAATTTTTTCAAATTCTAAAATAGATTTTGTAAGGAGATGGTTGACTGGGAGACAACATGCCAGTCGTCAAGTGCTCATTTATAATTCATCAACCACCTATAAACTAACGGCTATGTAGAGTAATTTGGTAAAAGGTTCTAACATCTTTAATTTAATGAAAAATTTGAGATATTCTTAATTTGATACTAATTTGATGATAACAGTAGAGTATTAATTTTATATATATATTTTTATCAAATTTAAATTTGATGAAATAAAAGATGAAGCATTGAAAATACTCTTAACTTTTACTCAACAAAATATTCTTAATGGATCTAGTTTTGCACCGAGACACGAGTCCATTACCACGGTGGTCAACAAACACAGAAAAAATAATTTAATTAGTAATTGTATTTAAACAAAGTCTCTAATAAATTTAAGTAAGGAATTAGGAATGAACAAACAATAATTAATTGACTCTCTCTCTCTCTTTCTATCTCTCTGCCTCTGATACGTTTTTTTAATGTTGCAAGCATCCACCAATAACATGGAACCCATTATTCTTGCAAAGTGCGACATCTAAGCATGTTACTAACCCAATCAATATTAGGTTAATCATCTTGATTTGATATCATTTTATAATACATTTTTTTAGGACCATATAGTATATGACAATTGAATTATGATTTTTTTATTAATATCCTAAGATTATTGCTATCATGTGTTAGATACCTCCTAGCCTAACTACTCACATGCTCCACACATAGATAAAAAGTGACTAATATAACCTGCAGAACACTTATTTATAGTATTATATATATAAGTAGATCTTTGAGTCTCTCAAAATTGCTGAAGTCAGTGTTTAATTGACTGAGTTTAATTTACAAGTTTTTGACTAGCATTGTTTTATTGAATTATGATTTTTTTATTAATATCCTAAGATTATTGCTATCATGTGTTAGATACCTCCTAGCCTAACTACTCACATGCTCCACACATAGATAAAAAGTGGCTAATATAACCTGCAGAACACTTATTTATAGTATTATATATATATATAAGTAGATCTTTGAGTCTCTCAAAATTGCTGAAGTCAGTGTTTAATTGACTGAAATGTACTTGACGCGTAAGTTCAGAAATTATGACGCATACAGTTTTATTATTATTTTCTCTCAACATTTTTATTGAATGAAAAACAAATGCGCTCGTATACCTGTGAGCCATACAAACTTATGATGTCTATAAATTTGTTTTCTACTTTTGCTCACTACTTTTTGAGTGTCTCCATCCCTTGTATCTCAATATTTTATTTTTTTAGCATTTTACAACTTTATGGATTGATAATATTCAACATGGAGGAGATATATTATGTATTTGCCGACGTTGAATTTATAGGAATGAATGTGATTACTTTCTCTAATCAAGGTGTGGAGAATCTAAGGAGAGTTATTATACCATCTGGCTAAATCAGTTATTGAAGAGATTATTTTTGCTATTGCTAGCTGTGACAATATTATAATACATTGAACTAAGTACTGTCCTTGCAATTGCAAAGGTGAAATCCACTTGCATTTCATGAATAATTTAATTATATTGAGTCCTAATTAACCTTTGTTTGACAAAGCTTTTCATAGTCATGTGATTAATGAAACGATAAACCAACTATTTCTGAGAAAGAGTAAAACCAAAAGGTAGAATGTGTAGAGAGACCAAGGGAGGCTGTGGCGTCCAAAAACTTGAGAAATTACACTGTTTCACAATATAACACCCCTAAATTTTGAGAAATTAACAGATATGGCCCTAAATTTTGAGAAAGTTATACTTATCCATGTATGGATAATGATATGAGAGCTGAGAGCACAACTCCATTATTGGATTGATGAGGACAAAGCTCAGACTCTTGCCCTACTAATCAGGGCTTGTGTGTCAAGATCATCATGTTGTTGGGCACCACTATTATACGAGCAATAATGTCACATCTTCTTAACTGATCATCAATACTTACAACTTATTGTAAATTGTGTTGTGTCAAGTAATAAAAAATGACTTGTCATTCAGAAAAAAAAAATAAAATAAAATAAAAAAAGAGAGTAAAGAATGATGTATAAAAATGACGTAGTCGAGGATCATCATTTTTGTTATATGGGAGTGAAGGAACAATTAGTTTTTTTTTTTTGTGGCCATTTTTAATTGTGGCACTTTGAAGAACACTTCAGTTGTAGCCCATTGTTCTCACAAAGCAGCATGGAAACACATTAATATGCTTTAGCAGAAACAAAGTGCCATCTTAGCATTATTATCTTATTTTATTAAATATAGAACTAGTAGTGTTAATGTTGTTATCTTGAAACATATGTTGTTGGGTACCTGTTTCCCATCTTAGAATATTATCATTAATTATTAAATGTAGCATCTTAGCATAATCACCGTACCGTTTAAAAAGCAAAAGGAACTTGTATTGGACTCCAGATGGGCTAAACATATATACATGCTTGTTTATTAAATCTCTAACAATAATATGTTTGGATTGAGTGATTTGGAGAGAAAAGAAAAGAAATGGAGAAATATGTACTTCTCTTACTTGTTTGGATAACTTAAGTAAAGAGAAATGAAGAGAAATGGGAAGAAACGAAGAGAAACTTATTTCTCTTATAACCCTCATTTTCAATCTTCTCAAAAATGAAGTGATTGAGAGAGAAAAGAAACCAATATTTTCATAATATCAATTTTGTCCCTATAAAAATAAAAGAAATAACATGATTGAAAATATAAAAAATTTATTTTGGTAATATAACATAAAATAATTTCTTTTCTTTTCTTTTCTCTTATGAAATTTAACCAAACAAGAGGGACAGAAATCATAATCATTTTTTTTTTATTTCTTACTTATCCAAACAAAAAGGAGAGAAATCACAATCAAATTTTTTTTCTTTTTTCTTTTCTCTCCTAAATTCCCAAACATAGTGTAAATGATAAAACTAAATGATGCCCTAAAATGAGTTAAAAGGCAATGAGCCTATAATATTTTTTTTTGAACCAAGTTAATTATGTGCTTAGGAGGAAAATCACTAGATAAAAATATCTCCCAAAAATCGAGTTGTTTTATTTATTTATTTTTGGGGTAAAAATTTGTCCATTGAGGATTGCCCTATTATAGTGATGTTGAGCATATTATAAGTAGGATCCACAAGGGTATCCATGGGTCATATTTCAAACCCGCCTAGAGTACCCTTAAATGGATAGATAAGGAGAGAAGACTAATTCGTCTTTTTAATTTAAACAATTGCACCATTAAATTTTTTAAAATGTTATCTTGCTCCCCTGAGGCTCTCAGTTGAACAAATCCTTGTATTCTTCAGTTCCCACCAAAAAAAATAAGCTTTTCATTTTCTTTTTATACCGTTGCATCGGGATTCATACATATTTGAAACTCCTATGTATTGTATTATAGTAAGCATGCTAAACTTATAGTTGTTTTGAATTCAATAAGATTTAAATATACTACACCATTGAATTCTCTCTCTCTCTCTCTGTGCCATTATGTAGGAGCTGGGGCAGTGCAGGAATTGGATGTAGATCCTGGCTGCAAAAAATCAAATAATTATCATAAATTTCTCCTTTCAAATAACCAAAATCTAAAGTGAAGACTCAGATTGTAATAGGGGTACAACTCGGGCGGATTGAGTCGAGTTGGGAGGTTATCCAGGCCCAACCCAAATTGTGCCCAGACTTGCCCAGACCCGCCCAGGTCCGAATTGTAACCTGAGATTGCCTATCAAAGCCCAACCCGAGTTAAACCCGAATTGTACGAGCTACCTGAATCGTAAATGATATATATATATATTTTCTTGCTGTTGTATTATTAAACTATTAAAATTTGACTCTATTCCCATTTTTTTTTTATTATTATAGGAAATCATTAATACCATCAAAACAAATAATTTATATAATGTAAGAGATATGCCATTATAGTAGTCTTTACAATTTAAGAGTAAAAATAAAAAAAAAGATTTTATGTTATTTGTATATATAATATATATTCATTATGATTTAATAATCTAAATTACTTTAATATCATATAATGATTAATAATTTATGTGTATATTTAATATTTTTATATATCTATATATATAATTCGGGTTTTGGATTACTTGGGTTGTTTGACATTTTTATTCAAACCCATCTAAATTTAATTCGAACTTTTAAATTTTTATCTAAATCTATACCGAATTTAAAAATAACTTGTTCAAATCCTAAAAAATTTCAGGTTGGTCGGATTAAATCCGCCCAAATTACACCTCTCGATGCAATGGCCATTTCTACTACCAATTGCCGTAAAATCAACCAATTTTTATTTATTTATTTATTTCGACTCAATGCTCAGTACTAGTGTCTACCAAAGTATCATCTCACGGCCGCTTATCAAAGGCTTAAGAGATTAGGAGTTCTAGGTGGGCTTCAGAAAGTTCGCGAACTTTATTGGGCTTGATTGAGCCCTAAATTTTTCCGACCCAGTCCACTTGAGATTCCAATATGGACTGAACTGAACTCGCCTGAAAAATTATACTCTGTGTTTAATTTCAGTTTTTTTAGGAAAAATTTACCCATAAGTCCTAGTTTTTGAAACGTTGAACCATTTAGTCCTAAAAATTTTCTTATGCTCCATTTAGTCCTATTTTTACATCAACATGATGTGAATGATGTAAATGATCTGATGTTTCATTCTATAATTTCAAAATTCCGACCTAAGTTAAACCCGAATTACCCAAATTGTATATGAATTTCAAATTTTTTTTTCAGCTACATTATTAAATTATTAAAATTTGACTCTATTCCCATTTTTTTGTTATTATTATAGGAAATCATTAATACCATCAAAACAAATAATTTATATAATGTAAGAGATATGCCATTATAGTAGTCTTTACAATTTAAGAGTGAAAATAAAAAAAAAAAGATTTTATGTTATTTGTAGATATAATATATATTCATTATGATTTAATAATCTAAATTACTTTAATATCATGTAATGATTAATAATTTATGTGTATATTTAATATTTTTATATATCTATATATATAATTCGGATTTTGAGTTATTGGGTTGTTTGACATTTTTGTTCAAATCTATCTAAATTTAATTCGATCTTTTAAATTTTTATCTAAATCTATACTGAATTTAAAAATATCTTATTCTAGCTCTAAAAAAAATTCTTACTGAATTCAGGTTGGTCGGATTAAATCTGCCCAAATTACACCCCGCGATGCAATGGCCATTTCTACTACCAATTGCCGTAAAATCAACCAATTTTTATTTATTTATTTCGACTCAATGCTCAGTACTAGTGCCTACCAAAGTTTCATCTCGCGGCCGCTTATCACAGGCTTAAGAGATTACGAGTTCTAGGTGGGCTTGAGAAAGTTCGCGAACTTTATTGGGCTTGATTGAGCCCTAAATTTTTCCGACCCAGTCCATTTGAGATTCCAATATGGACTGAACTGAACTCGCCTGAAAAATTATACTCTGTGTTTGATTTCAGTTTTTTTAATTCAATTTTTTAAAAATTGAGTATTTTGTTTTTTTTAATATTTTTTTAGTGAATATTTTTTAAATTTTAAACATTTTTTAAACTTTTTTAGATGTACCTTACTTAGACGTATCGAAATAGTAAAATATTTGTGAAAAAATATTTTAAAAAAATTAATAAATACACAAAAATACAAAAAATGTATTGAATTTTCATATTTTTTATATATTTTTTGGTATTTAGTGTATTTTTTAAAGATTTTTTTGACAAATATTATATTTTTTAAGTGTATTTATCTATGGTGTGTCAAAAATTTTTTTTAAAAAAAATCTTAAAATATTAAAAAAAATCATTGAAAACATTAAAATACGGAAAATAAAAAAATAGAATTTTCTAAAAATTAGTTTTTGAAAACCAGATCCAAACAAGCTGATGATATCTTTTTTTGTCTTTTTATCTATTATCTATTATTATTATTATTATTTGTGTGTCAAAATGTGATTTCGTTCAACTTTACCCCTTTTAACAGTTACAAAAATATTTTTTTTCTATGAATAATGTTATACATAAATAAGGTTTTTTAGAATTTTTTAATTTTTAGATAGAAAACAATAAATTGACATTAATAAATACACATGAAACTCATTATAATTATGTCTATAGATAGCAAAATCAAAAGTTTATGTATTATATTTTCCTTTTTTATTTTTTATAATTATTGAATTTATACCTGTCCTTTGTTTCACAATAATTTTTATATCATTATTGGGCCCAATAAGAAACAACTAGGGCATTTGGTTGTGTAGCACCACCATAGCACCATCACTATACCATTCTCCTACTAATAAAAAAACCTACCCCCTACTAATGCATACCGAACATCCTATTAATACAGGTAAATTGGTTTGGACACTTGATTATCAAAAAAAAAAAAAAAAAGAAAAAAGAAAAAAGACTACCCCTACAAATGCATACCGTGCAAAAAAAATAAATATATTTTCTTTTTTTGATTTAATAAATTTTCACAGAACTTACCACACAAGCATGTACGTCATTACAGCCACACATCAGCTTCCCATTAAGAGTGTCCACTGCTTGAAATGATCCTCCTCCCTCACTTCTCTGCATTAATAACCATAGTCAAAAAACAAATAGAAAGATCAATATTGTTAAGAATGGTTTTCTTGCATTTCAAACATACATGGGAGTGAATTCAAAAAAAAAAAAAAAAAAAGAATAATTTATAGAAACCTTGTAAAAATCAACAGCGACAAAGTTAGCCCATCGATTGCCAGAAGCAGCATAACAAGTTGGAAGCATGTTAGCGAGGTCCGCGGAGTTCTGTATACATGCTGATACCTTGATGGGTACAGATTTGAAGTAATTTACCAACACCAGTGATTTTGTCTTGTCATCCATTGGTGCTGATTCTGCTCTGTTTGGGCAACTTCCTGCTTTCATTCCTCCATCCCCATCTACCAAAAATAATTCCCATTGATAGGAAAATAATGAGAGAGAGAGAGAGAGGGAGAGAGAGAGTTTATATATGATTCTTACATTGATTTTCAACCATGTAGTTCCATTGATAAGCAATTCCTTCACTCTGCTCCTTAGATTTAATTGAAGTGAACACAATAAACCTTTGGTTTTTGGCAACCATGTCACTGACCAGAGGCCAGTCTTGACCATTTTGTGGCATGCTTGTCACTGGGAACCAATATTTCATCAAACCAGCATCAGTGAAGACCTTTGTCAATCCATTTGGGGCATGAACATAATCCTCTAGGATTATTGTCACAATTTCTGATGGATTTGCAGATAAGAATGCCTCAATTTCCCTCAATGTGTCTATTGCTCGTTCCTACAATTGCAAATTAATTTAATTACAATGAAATTTTGCACATTTGAAGAACATAGTATAAAACCAATAGAACATTAAAAAAGAAAAAGAAAAAAGCCCAACACAAGGCTCGAGAAGAGTCAAATGTATGCAGTCTGACCTTCCATGTAGAGAGATAGTTTCATGTATCAAACTCACGATGCCCAAATCGTAATAGAACAACTTATTGTTGTGCTAGGTATAAAGACCAAAAAAAATAAAATAACTTACAAATGCAGTATAATCGTAGCAGTTTCCTCCAAAAGAATGGCACAACCAAACATCACCTTCAAAATCATATGTGTCAAGCATTAAGCCTCGAACCCCATTCTACAAAATCAACAATGCCCCAAAAATATCAAAATGAGTTTTTATTTAGAATGTTGGAGAAGCATTGGAGAGGGTGGTACTCTTACATTTAGCTGTTGAGTGATATTATCTTCTTGATTTGTAATGGTAACTCTGGGAACTCCAGTGTGAGATGGCTCTCCTTCTATGGCATATGCATTGTGTGTTGTCAAAAATGCGTACTTGTTGAATGGCAGTGAATTATTCTGTTACCCGAAAGATGAATAATTGAATAAAATGTGTGAATTTTTTGATCAATAATGTTAGAAATACAAAAATTGATCACAAAAAATGAAATGGAAGACTAAGTTTAAACACGATTATGGAAGGATCCATTGCACTTTTTGTGATCTAATTTGTATTTTAATTTTGTGTTATAAGCATTAGTGCTCATGGAATTATCAGATTTAAGCATGATTATCAAGTAAATTGAACAACAAAATTCTTAGCATAACTGATCATATGCCCGAAAAACAAAAATTGGTATATATAAACAGATTTTTTGCTTGATTTTCTTAATGTAGACCTCACTACCGTTGTATCTCATGATAGGAAAATTAGGTGAAAAATCCATTTATGTATATCATTACTTGCAAAAAGGTTAGAAACAAATCAACAATGCTATCGAAAAAAGTGGGCAACAAATTAATTGTACGAATTAGATTTATTATGAAAACACATGTTTATTTCAATTTCTGGCCACTTTACAGACTTCTTTTTTCTAGTTTCCTAACACTTCCCAAAACAAAACATGGTTTAAAAATTTTTAAAAAAAAAAAATCCCAAAACAAATGCTCAAATGAATATGGGCTGGTTTTATTTCACCCTTGAAGACCAATATATATTAGAAGAGGCTAGTCCAGCCTGATGAACTAGAAAGCCCAACCACTTACGTAGACCTGTAGTAACACAGGTTACACAAACCACTTTTTGAGAGATCTCACAATTTTTTTGAATCTCAATTATTAATAGTATGGTTCACACACATATATAAATAGGTCTTACAGATATATTAATAGTTAAAATTTAAAAAGAGTTATAAGATCTCTAAAAAACAGGGAGATCCCAAGCATTAAATATATATATATATATATTCATGAACTTGTCATTATTATGATCGACCATCAGATTTTGACAGATATTGACTTCACGTGCATTTATTTATTTATTTTGGAAACAAAGTCAAGATGATAAATTTAACGAAATTTCTTTTAAAGAGTAACCGAAAAGCAAACAGAATGGGATGGCCCACGACGGTTGTTCACAAAAATGAGCTAATATATGTATCAATAATGATTGAGATTTTTTTTTAAAAAAAAAATTTATAATTTTTTTTGATCTCAATCATTACAAAAATGAGTGAGGGTGCCCCTATCATTCCCACTAAATGCTGATTAGTCTAATTTTTTTTTCCACTCTTTTTAACCCCACGTGTATGTGGAGGTGATGGAAGTCTATAACAGTTTTATAATCATTAATAGTATGGACCTTACATATATATATATAAATAGGTCTTACACATATAATAATAATTGAGATTCAAAAAGAATTATGAAATTCCAAAAAAAAATTCCAAACATTTTTATATATATATGGACAACTCTTTCACGCCAGTCCAAATCACTCGGTTAACTTGCCCCACCTCACTACTTATGTGATGAATAATTCGGGCCTGTTCGGTAACGTTTACGTTTTCAATTTATATTTACAAAAATTTTATAAACTAGTTTTTGTTTATTTTTACAAAAACATAAACTACAAACGCGTTTGGTAATTGACAAAATGTTTAAAAAATTTAAAAATATAAAAAAGAGTGAGAAATAACAAGTGGTGGCAAGTGACGGCGGAAGACGGTGGTGGAAAGTGGTGACGGTGGGTGGTGGGTAGCGGGTGGTGGCGGGTGGTGGGTGACGGTGGCGGGTGGTGGTGGCAGGTGGGTGGCGGATGACGGGTGGTGGTGGCGGTGGGTGGGTAGGTGACGGTGGCGGGTCGTGGGTGGTAGCGAGTGGGTAAAATTTACCAAACAAGTTTTTATTTGAGTTTTTAAAATTTTTGTAAATATAAATAGAAAACTGAAAATGTAAGTGTTACCAAACGACACCTTCATGTACCATAATTATTTTTATTGAAAAATTACATAAGTCATATTATTTTTAAAATCTTTAGGGATTGTTTGAGATAATTTAAATAAGTGTACTTTTTAATTTTTTATGAAATATGAGGTGGGTTTTGGTTGGATTTGAAGTGACGTGTTAGAGAAGTGATGTGATTTAAATAAGATGATATGACTTAAATAGGATAGTGACTTCTTGACTTTTTTCAAATATGTCAAACTAGCATTAATGTAAAATTTTATTGCACACTAATGGGGATGATTATGTCAATGAATCTCTTAACAACTATTATGCTTCACATACATACATACATATATATATATATATATATATATATATCCCTCATTTTGACATGTGAGGTTGAAGAGAGGGAGTTTTTTAATTAAAATAATTATAAAAAGACAAAATATATTAAAAATTAATAAAACAAACTGTCATATGTAAATTATAATTATTTTATTTTTTTTTCTCATAAAAATTTAAAAATTTTAAAAATTGAACTCAAACGAAATTTTTAACTTAAATTAAAATAGGTTAAATTAAAATAGCTGAAAATTAAAAGAACTTTTCAAACAAATTCATAGAAGTGCGAAGTGAGACTTACGACGAGCTTGAATTGATCAGTGATGTCGGATCTCACACATATAGGGCCTGAAAATGCTTCATTGATACAAGAGAAGCAATACAGCCCTGTTCCGCAATCCGAGTCCGATGTGCATTTGTCCAGTTCCTATTATTTTAATTAATTTACAGAAATTCATTATAATTGAGGCTTAAAAATAAAATACCCAGTACAGAAAAGAAAAAAAAAACAATAGAAAGATAGAGAGACCTTGCATTCTCCATTAGAGCAAGCCCTGGAAACACTGAACAATACCGAAACTGTTGCCAGAAACAAAGGAAGTTTCCGAAGATCCATAAGTAGTGTTTTTAAGAGGGAGGGAGGGAAGGAGAAGGAATTGTAAGAGAATTGAAGCTAGTAATCTTTTTTAGGGGATGGAATTGTAAGAGACTTGTTTTAAAAATCAATAAGACATTATGGGAACTCAGGCTGAGAAAACAACGTACGGGCCGGGGTTTCACACGATGATTAGAAAGAAAGAAGGATAGAGAGAGAAAGGAATTGGGAAATGCCAAGGAACGCGCAACCAAAGGGAAAAAATTATTGAATATTTTTTTTGATTGTTGATACTCTTTATCAGTCATGATATATAACATATTTTATACTTTCTAATCCCCTAATATATCATGAATTTCACATTCATTATAACATCTTAGAGCTCACCTGTCGTGTTCCAAACACACCCAATAATTACTCACGAAAGGGGGCAAGAAGTTGGGCCGTCCAATCAAAAGACAAATCAACTTTTTGGAATATGAATTAGATGCCCCTTCTTTTTTATTTATTTATTAGAGTACAACACAAATCTATTTTGAAAAGTAAAGTTAAATGTTATTTTTTTAATTTTTTTTTAAAAATATTTTAAAAAATAATATGACAATAAAAATAAAAATAAAAATAAAAAGTCAATAAAGTAATTTTTAATAAAGTAATTTTTAACTCAATTGTCAAAAGAAGCCAACATAAGACCACTCACTCACCCAACCCAACTAGTTCACTCACTCACTTGTATTTGTATAAGATTCACCTTAGCCTCTTGCCCCTCACAACATTTTTGGATGTTATACAAATAAATAAAAAAAATTGAAAAAATTATAATAAAAGAAACAAGGTTTGGTCATTATTGTAACAAATAAATTATGAACTTTTAATTTTATTAATTTAAATTATAATATTTTAATTTGTTTTTAATTTAAATAATTCTTTTATTTTTGTTAAGTAAACTAGTAGAAAAAAAATATTTTGATCCTTAAATTCAATATCTAAAATATATATTTTTGGGTAAATTATACTGACACTCCCTGAGGTTTAGGTTTATTACAATTTCCCTCCTCACCTTTTGGAAATTAAATCTCCCTTCTAAGGTTTAAAGTTTCATTACAGATTCCCCCTTCAGCAATTTATTTTTTTTAAATACCAATTTTGCCCTAATTAGGTAAATTATATTGACACCCCTCACATTTTTGAAATTGTAATCCCCTCCCCAAGGTTTAAAGTAACTTTACTAATTACCCCTCGGTTAGTATTAGTTGGAAAAAAAATTCATTAAAAAAAAATTAATTGGAAAAAAAAATATTTGAAAAAAAAATTAATTGAAAAAAAATTTTATTAGTAAAATTTTTAAATTTTTGTTTAAAAATCAACATAAACTCATTTTTTAAATTTACGTTTTTTTTTTCAAATTTACAAACTGAGACAACCATTTATAAAGTAAAAAAATTATTAAACAAGTTTTTATGACATTTTTTTAAATTTTTGTAAATATAAATTAAAAATTAAAAACGAAATGGTTACCACACAGGTCTCAGATGGTAAAAATGTGGTAAAATTAACAAATAATTAAATAAGTTACCAACGTAAGAAATGACTTATTAAAAATTCTTAGGTTATGTATGGTTTGATTTTTAGAATTTTTTTTAAAAAAATTAAAAATTAATTTGGTTAAGAAATAAAAAATAAAAAACAATTATCATTTAAGGGTAAAAAATAATTATCATTTTAACTTTTGGGTAGGTTATATACATACGTATGGCTGTTTCAATTTAATTTGTAAAAAAATTATTTCTAACCACTCGAAAGATAAAAATTATATAAAAATGATAATTATTTTTTATTTTTTATTTCTTAACCAAAATAATTTTTAATTTTTAATTTTTTTAAAAAAATTCTAAAAATCAAACTGTACATAGCCTAAGAATCTTTTGATAAGTAATTTCTTACATTGGTAACTTATTTAATTATTTGTAAATTTTACGACATTTTTACCATCTGAAGCCTGTTTGGTAACCATTTCGTTTTCAGTTTTCAATTTATATTTACAAAAATTTTAAAAAATGTCATAAAAACTTGTTTGATAATTTTTTTGATTTATAAATGGTTGTCTCGGTTTTTAAATTTGAGGAAAAAATATAAATTCAAAAAATGAGCTTACGTTAGTTTTTAAATTTAGTTTTTAAACAGAAATTTAAAAATTTTACTAACAAATTTTTTTTTCAAATAATTTTTTTTTCAATTAATTTTTTTCCCAACTAATACTAATCGAGGGTGCAATTGGTAATGCTATTTTAAACTTTAGAGAGGGGATTGTAATTTCTAAAATGTGAGGGGTGTCAATGTAATTTACTCAATGAGGGCAAATTTGGTATTTTAAAAAAATGAATTGCTGAAGGGGGAATCTGTAATGAAACTTTAAACCTTACGGGGGAGATGTAATTTGCAAAAGGTGAGAAGGGGAATTGTAATAAACCTAAACCTCAGGGGGTGTCAGTGTGATTTACCCTATATTTTTTTATTAGTTTTACGTAGTAAAAATAGGCTAAATAATTGAAATTGAAAATAAATAAAAAAATTATGATTTAAATTAATAAAAAAATAAAATTTATTTTTTACAAGAATCAAACCTTGAAGTTTTTTTTTTGGTTGTAATTTCTCTATTTTTTTCTTAATAAATTGATGTGATATGTCTTATGGCATCTCTAACAGTACATTAATTTTTTCACTAAATTCGAGTAAAAATTTGAGAAAAAACTTCCTTTGATATCAAGTGTTCTGATGGAGAGTTTTGTAATTTCATCAAAGCATCGGTCCACCAGGCGGTCAACTGACCAGTGTAATTTTTTCACAAATTTTTACTTTGAGATGGTTATCCGGGGAAACATCCAATGGTGAAAATTCAATGGCAATGAACAGTAATTTGATGAAAGGTACATTGATCCTCAGTTTAATAAAAGAAAAGTGAAATTCTAAATTTGATAAATCGTTGGAGAAGCAAAAAGTAACTTTTTTTATTTATTTATCAAATTTAAATTTAATAATGGATTTGATGACCCATTGGAGATGATCTTAACAAAAAGATTTTGATATTTACAATAAACCTATACTAAAATTGAATTTTAGGAACAATTCAAAATTGCTAGAACACATATTAAAATTATTTTAATTTTTTTAACTTATATATCTTTTATTACACTTATTTTTATACAAAATATAAAATTATTTTAATTTTTTAACTTATATATTAAAATACATGTTAATAAATTTTAAGAAAAATTTCATTTAAGTAGATGTTTGAATTTTTTTTTTAAATAGTGATAAACTTTACAAAAATTAAAAAGTAAAATTATAAAAAATTTCATAATTTGATAATTAATTTTTAAAAAATTTACTATTTTTCCTAAATTTCAACATATATATTTGTGTGAGATTATGGTAAGAAGGCTGAATTTAAGGTGATTTTTTACTCATAAAGAGGACCATATATATTTGGATGTGTAGCGTAGGGTGGGGGTGAATCAATGTTTGCTTGTCTAGACTTTTTGGTTGTTTGTTCAGCCACTACAAACGAAATAGGATTCTTTAGCCGTATTTCAATATTCTATATTTAAAATTAAAATAAAATAATGTCTTTTTATACCAAAGTTATTGCTACATTCTTTTTTTTAATCACACATTTTAGGATAAAAAATTTATTTGCATATGTTTTTTCGTTAGGTTACATTCATGTTGAACTCTATGTTGAAAAGTTTTAAACTTTCTGAATTAAAATAATACATCAAACACAATTAAAATGATTTGATTCTCACCTCTAACGGCATATAAACCTCTTTTTTGAGTTTTATTGCCTTTTCTTACATGAATGGAGGTGGTGACTAATTTCTGGATGTAAATGCAAATCTCAATACTTATTAACAAAAAAGATTTAAATTGGTAATTTTATTTAGAATGACATAATAAGTTACGCGTTAATTTTAAATTTATCACAAATTATATATAAAATCTAACTTTATTATCATATTATTGTGAGTTTCTAGCAATTAGGTGTTAAATATTTTTAACTTATATATATTACAAATATTAATGCTGTGTTTGGTTGAGGGATTTGATGAGGGATTTGGAAAGAGAAATGAAAAAGGTAGGTAAAATGTGAAAAAAACATGCTTACATTTCACATAGTTTCACACACCTTTTTCCTTTCCCTTTCCAAATCTCTCCTCAAATCCCCCAACCAAACACAGCATAAGAGAGGTTACGAAGAAACAATCAACGTGGAGTAATTGTCTTTTGAGAATTTTATGTTGTTAGTATGCCGAACTAATAAGAGGGCTTAATAGTTAAATATCGCTAAGGCTCCGTTTGGCAAGTTGGGTTGAGGGTTTTTTTGGCTATTTTAGTCACAAAAGACAAAATAGGCTATTTTAGTCACAAAAAATAAAACATCACACCCAACCCATAATCATTACACTCTTCGCTCACAAAAAAAGTCAAAAAAGCCAAAAAGCCAAAAAGTCCTTCCCAAATCAAGCTTTTTAGCCCAGGCTAAAATAGCCAAAAAAGTCAAAAAGCCAAAAAGCCAACCCACTTCCCAAACCAAGCCTAAAAAGAAAAAGTAGTGAATAAATTTGTGATAATTTTTTGTTCGTGTGGGAATCTGGGGGGCCACCTTGTCAATTTGGGCTTTGAAGTGGATTGATTGACTTGGATTGGATTGGAAAGAGGCACAAAGTGTAATATTCTGAAGCATCTTCTATTTCTTTTGGACTGGGCTGAGAGTCCGAGTCCGATGTCCTGGCTCAACAGGTTACTATGAGACTGCCACATCTGGATCCCATTCGGTCGTATCTTTGATTGTTACTAGAATGATTTGGACCATTGATCTGTAATGCCAATGTTGTGATCACATGAAATCAATGGTACTGAGAAATGAATGGTATGATGAGTTTGTAGCATTATTACCGGTGACTTTGAATAATTTTTACCAAAAAAATAAATAATTTTAAAAACTTTAAATAAATTATTAAAAATTTTACATAATATTTACATAATTTTGAATTTTATGCTACGTGAATATTATGCTAAATTTTTGACAATATTGTTGAAATCCTTAGTATTGTTCCAATTTTTGGTATTGTTGATACTAAAAAAAATAATTTTTTATTGATTATGACTTGTTAATTATGGCCAAGTCTCATTTAATTGATTGTGACTTATTAATTATAGTCAAATTTAATTTTATTGATTGTAACCGGTCGATTTTAATCTATTGAATCACATCATAAATATTTTTAAAGATTTACCATGGCCATGTTG